ACACATGATCTACTTTTAATCTACTTTTAAGAATTGTAAATGTACATTCCCATATTTCTTGGAGATTTGTCAGTGCCTGCCTGTTCACAGTCTTTCTCAAAGGCTATCTGATGGGAAACAGAATAGAGAAGCTCTTTGACTTGGGTAGAGATTGTGTTCTGAAAGGGAGTTGGAAATCTATTAGTCTGAAACAGCCAAGTAACACCATAGACACGGCTGCTCTTTCCTCAGAGGGACAGGGTGGTCACAGCTCTATTCACAGCTAGAGGAGGCCATGTAGCAGAAACAGTCTGCAGTGAGACATTTTCCTAGCATGCCTGTTGAAGGTGTTCTGCTATGACCAACTTGATCAGTTCCCTTAAGGTGTTTCCTGATTTCAAGTCACCAGGAGTGTTTGGGATGAATGTTTGGAATCTGGTTACGAGGAATCCTATGAGACTGTCTAACGCTCTGCTCATAGGGTTAACCAATGTAGCAACAATTAAGTTCAATTTAAAGAAAATATTTGAGTGGGTGCTATTTGCCAAAATACCTAGACAGTGGAGCCTGAAGGTTTACACGACCTAAGGGAGAAAGAATTGTAAACAATCATATAATGGATCAAGGACATAATAGAGGAATATCCCAGATGTCCTGGGGACCTCAGGGAGCAAGCAGGGAATTCAAGGTGGTTTTAGAAAAGAGGTGACTCGTTCGCCGTACAGGATGAGGTAAGTCTCCAGATCAAACACGCCCCAAGCAGCTCTTTGGACTCTTAATTGGCGAGACCCTTTATATCAGGGGAGGTTTTTAAAAGGAACATGTAAGATTTCTTCTTTTGATTACCAAAATAGACCTTGTATAATACAAAAAAATAAAAATAAATATTACCATGAACCCATCCCCTGAGACAGAACCACTTCAGGTTGTTTGCTTTCTACCTTATTTCTTTGCCGTGGTGTGTATCTTTTCAATGCCTTGAAGCCACGATGAAGTAGGACAGGTACCTCTATGCTGTGACTCGAGTACTCATCCCAGTGCTGTGGGATTAGGGAGTGGGGGCTCTTCAGTTTTAACAAAGCATCATTTTACAATTTTCACATGTCTAAATTCCAGGCAAAAGTCACTAAAGCCACGGGAATTCTGAGCTAGCAGCCCTTTCATTGGTTCGTATTTATGGAAACTGTAAAATTATAGAAATATTATTTGGGGGGAGGAGATGAAAAGAAAAAATTATGAGAAAAGTATAAATATATCTGTACTTTTATTATTTATCTTTCTGCTTATGAATCTTAGATCATAAACTTACAGCAAAAAAAAAAAAAAAATGCCAATGAATTTCTCCCCATCTCTTAGAGTCTTTCGCTTTACTTTGCTCAGTACTTCTATGCAGAAACATTCGTCATGCCATGAATTGATTTGGCCAAGACCATTAGCTGCATCATTGCTAAGAAATATATGTGCCTAAATCTGGTACAACTATTTTTGGAATTTAAATTCTTTTAAACTCAGAATACATCTGCATCCAATACAGTTTCCCATATTTAAAAAATACGTGTCCTCCATTTCAGTGACGTCAAGTACAGAATTTAATGCCAGTTCACATGCTACCTTTTCCTCTTTAAACATCAGATACAAAATGAATTATTCTTTGTTGATTTATACCCACTTTTATTCTTCTGAATGTTTTGGAGAGTGTATTTATGAGGTCATTAGGAAGCAAGTTCAAGTCATTGATACAAAAATCCTTTTGCATTTTGTCTTCCTGCACAGTGTCTGTGTCACATGCAGTGCTGGCCAGCAAAACAAATGTTTTCCTCTTTTGTCCCTTCTGGTCTGATGAGGAACCATGGCTTGAATGTGGGTGAAAGGGGTGCTGGTCCCTCTTCGTTCCTAGGGAGGGAGCTTAAGGCCTATCACACATTTTCAACTTTTTATTTTTTTATGCACTGACTGGGGTCCCCTCATTGCTTTACAAGGATGATGTCTTGTTTCTGCAAGAGGCTTCTGATGCTCAAATGCTTTTAGAATCTCCAAAGGACTGGCATCTTTTATTTCTCCGTTCAACAGATATTTACTGAGCGGATGCTACATGGCAGACACTATTCTAGGCACTGAAAAACAACAGCATCAACCACCAGACCAGATCTCTGTTGTCATGACGCTCACCTTCTAGTGCTGGAGGCAGAAAATGCACAATTAAGCAAGTGCATATATTTCAGATCTGTACAAGTTCTAGAAAGAAAAGTAAAGCAGCTTGATGTGTTAATAAAGAAGTACCTATTCTATGAAATCATGCTTTTTTTTTTAAATCCTTACCCGTGGATATTTTTTCCATTGATTTCCAGAGAGAGTGGAAGGGAGGGAGGGAGAGAGAGAGAGAGAAACATCAGTGTGAGAGAGACACATGGAGTGGATGCCTCCCTAATGCCCCTGACCTGGGACAGGGAACCTGCAACCAAGGTATATGCCCTTGACCAGGAATCGAAGGTACAAGCTTTCGGCCCACGGGCCGACATTCTTAACTACTGAGCCAAACCGGCCAGGGCAAAATCATGCGTTTTTACATCCTAATCATTGTATTTCACTGTAATTGTTTTATAATTGTTATAAAATATGTCTTCCTACATATTTATTTTATGCCTTTAAAATATTATTCTGAGAAGGGGTCCATCACCCAAGAAAAGGTTTCAGATCTCAAGCTCATCTCACTATTAAGCACAAAAGAGCAGCCAAAAGCCAACGCAGGTTGGGGAACAGCGATTACTAACCCAGGGCACCATCGTGACACTTAATCCAGCATTCAACTTGGGAACCACAGACACTTCCTGGAGACTGTGGGTGGGGTGGGTGAGGTCACAGCACAGCTCACACTCACCAAGGATGAGACCTCAAAAGAAGGCCACTGGGAGGCATCTGTGCAGCCACCAGAGCGTGCCCAGCTGAGGTCCCAAGGGGCCGGCTGCTTCTCTCTACCGTGTTTTCCCTGGAGGCGCTGTACCCCTCTCCTGGCTGCCCCCCTCTCCCCTCTGGGCTGCTCTGGGCCAGGCTGCCCTGCTTCCCTGTGGCCACCCACAGCTCTGCTCTGCTCTCACTGTGGAAACAACGCTTCTAAAACTCAGTGAGAGACCCCAGCACAGAAGCCACAGCCTTATGAGTCAGACTTTTGACCACACTATCCAGGTCCCATATCTGTCGAAAGGGGGTCATAGGGAACCTCAGCTCACAGTGCAGTTAGGAGACTCAATGAGTTGGCAGCTGCAATGCATTTAGAACAGTGACTGGCACATGGTAAACACCATAGACACTGTTACATAAAGACAATCTTTCTTGCCTTTTTCCTTTCTTTGCCATCAAAAAAAAATGCCAAGGAAAATGCCTCTGAGATTTCATAAATGCAGTGTTAGCCAACAAAGCATTTAAGAATAAGTGATATTAATTTGGTAAAACAAAGTTAGAGCCATTTTCAATTTAAAAAGAGAAAGACTAGGAGAGATGGTCAAGAGTCAATGAAGGCGCAGCTCTCCCACTTCAATACCCACTGCAGTGAGACCTCAAGCTCGCCGGCCCTTATCACGCTATCGCTCCTCCCAGCAAACCTAGCCTCTCGGGGGCTTAGGAGCAGGAAGGGTCCTGTCTGTCCTCTGCAGAGCCCGGGGTCCATCTTGCAGTGTTGTTTCCTGGATGTGGGGAAATCAGTGCTACTAACGCTCTCATCTTTACTCTCTGGGCATCAGCCTGGACTCCCAATTTATTTTTAGCAAAGGGTAACGGGCAATCCCCTGGCTAGAGTACCACGGTGTTTGGATCTACTCTAAATGTGAGGTGGAAGGTCTCTAATCAGAAATCATCGTGCACTCGTCCAGATTATGGGGGGAAAATTAACCAATTGAAGCCATTCACATTGAGGTGAAGGGAAATTACAGAATGCCCAGCACTGCTGCATGCAGCTTGGGGCCCATCTGGTCTACCCCTGTCATTCTGTAGAGAAGGAAATGCCACCGCGGAGGGAGCACACAGGTCGGCCAGACAGGAGAGGAGTTCAAGCACCACCTTGCAGCTGCAAAGTGCCTCCTTGGGATTGCGCGCTCTGCCCTCGGGCTATGTCAGGGAACGAGTCGGGTCAGTTTGAAATTCGCCTGGCCAGCCAGGCCCAGCTGGTTCCCCAGCTTTGCAGGACTCCTGCCTGTCTCATGACTTGCAAGCCAAACCCACTCCGTGACTCGCACCCTCACGCTGCACAGGCAGCCTCAAGCCCAGCTCCTGGGGCAGGGGGCACACTGATCATAACGCTGGCCTCCCCGGCACCGAGTGCCCGCGTCGGTTAGTAGTCAGTATATTCTGTTGCTCTGCCAGCAATGACTTACACCGTCCAACGGCCGGACGAGGGTCTGAGGATCTCCTCCAACCTGCCACCCCCACCCTGCCCCGGCACCTCCGCTGTCCCCATAGACGAGTCCCTTACCACCTACTCTGATCCATGCGATACATCACAACAAATCACACTTAACCAGGACAACACATTGCCTCCCCTTTCTTAATCATTTACAGGCACATCCAGTTGTCAGTAGGCTGGGTGGCGAACGGCCACGGTAAGTGCTGGGGGTTTTCTGACCTGAGAACGCAAAATGAGTCCATCCTCTGAGTGCTCCCTGCAAACCTCCTGGAGACTGACACGGGCTACACTGAGTCCTATTTTGCACACGGAGGATCCCGCTGCGTTATTGTTTCCATCACTGTGAGTAGGTGGATATGGCAGAGAGAATTTTAGGTTTCCGGGTTCTGGTGCCAGGAGGAAGGGAGAGGGTGTAAAGTTCAAGTGCCATTGAAGTGATTAAAATAAACAAGCAGACAACTGGTTCCTAGGCCACTCCCACCTCCTACGGGGTTTCATCTGGAGCTGTGGCCACACTCCCAGTTCCCAACCTCGAGGAGCCGCGGCAATGGCAATGGCAGTCCCCAAAACGAGCAGGGTTCACTTAGCTCCCATCTCGCACCCGGCGCCTCTTCGCCTCTGTCACCTGTGGGCTTCGGCGGGCTCCAGGCCATTTTCCAGGCTGACATCTGTCTGCACCATCTCCTGTTTCAGTTCTCCGATCTCCGAGGCGATTGTGTCAATAAGCTATTCAAAGACAAAAATAGCGTGACGTCAGGCAGGGGAAGCGGAGGAGGCGATCGCGGGGCCGGGGAGGTGCGGACGCTTTGGGAGCTCGGAGATGACCGCCGCCGTTTTAAACTCTGGCTCCGGGAATTTCCTCAACCCAGAGAAAAGGATAAGGGAGGGAGCCGCTTCTTCTTAGAAAAGAGGAAGAATTTAGGTTTCGGTATAGCCTAAGAAAAAAAAAAATGACGCCCAGCTCAGTTTCTCAACACGCACACAAAAAAGAATGAACAAATCCTGGTAAAATCAGGCCTCAGCTTCACACTGTCAGGTTAAAACTCAAAAGGAAGTCCCTGGGTTAAAACACACAGCCATGATCCTGGTTACAGAAACGAGCATATTTTAAAGACATACCCAGGTTCCAAATCAATTCCCAACGACATTAAATGGATTTCTCACCTTAGTCTTTGCTTTTTTTTTTTTTAATTTATTTTTTTTCTGATCAGAGAAACTGTTAGGGACAAGGGAAGAGAGCGCTGCATGGGACTGGCAGTGTGTGAGTGGGCGGGTGGGTAAACCACCAAGAGAATGGAGGGGGAAAGGTGCCTTGTCCGACAGAAGACGCGTGTGGTCTTACGTCTTCTACCCACACGCTGGGCAGGAGCTACATCTGACCCTAAAGTTTGGTCTGAATTCTTGAGCCCGCCTATCTCTACTTATTCAACAGAATCCTTCCTGGGTGTACTTAAGCACTGTATGTGTAGAGCAGCTCTTCTCAAAGTGTTCCACTGCTCACTGCTTTTTTAAAAAATGTTACATAAATGTTATTTATGTCCACATGCAATAGATTACTTTTTAAGATAAACATCTTAATATTTTCTTCATTTATTTTCTAATACAGCAAATATCTCTAAATACAATCCACATGAACACAAGGTCTTTGAAGTCCTTCATAATTTTTACCAGTGTAAAGTAATCCTGGGACTAAAAAGTTTGAGAATCACTCTTCCAGCTAAAGACAAGTGTTGTATTGCCTCAAGCAGCTTTTATCCCACCTGGACTCTGGGAGAAACTATATTTGATGGCCTAGGCTATTCTAAATTGTTGACCCCACGTATCCATTCACTAATGCAACAGAATTTTATGGCCACCCACTTCATGATATTCTGGTGGGGCGCAGACCACAGCACTTAGCATTAAGAAGTTCTAGAACGAAAAGAGAATAGGGTGGTGCCATAGGGAGGAACTATATAGCTAGGGTGCGATGGTCAGGACAGGTCCTTGAAGAAGTCGTGGATCCCTGAATGATAAGGGATCCATAAAAAGATCAAGACAGAAAAAGTCCCAGAGGCTGGACAGGCCTTGTGGAAGGAGAGGCAGCCGGGAACCGGACCTCATTGGCGTTCTAGATGACAGTATTCTAGAATTTGAGTTTTCTATATTAAGAACCACGATGCCAACAGCAGTGTCAGTGGAAGTGCTTTATCTAAGTGGATGCTGCTAACTGAAGTTTCTCCAAATCCACGTACACAACTCAAGACTCCAGCACTTCCCTGTCCCTGTCGGAGCTCCTACAAGAGGGGAAGAGCTGCCCAGACATCTGCCAAGCTGGTGAGCAAGCGCCGTTTACCACCACCCTGTTTCGCTACCCAGGCTGCGTGGACACCTGGGGAGGTGGCAAGAGGCAAGTGACCGTCTTGGTTATTCAGTGCAATCAGAGAGTGAGATAGGACACTTAGTTTCCAGGAAACTAAGTTGGAGAGACAGAGGTTCTTACAACAAAACACAACACTTGTGTTCTTTCCAGAAAAATCCATAAGCAGTTACTAAAGTCCAACCCGAGAGACAGCCATTTACATATAGAGAGTACAGCAGAGCTGTGGCACGCAGTTAGACATGAGCAGAGCAAGGACGGTGGGCCAGGTACAGAAGGTCATCAAGGCGGAAAGCCCTAGGAGCCTCGCAATGGACAATTATTGGGTGTGACTTCACCCCTGAGTGGCCTTTCCTCCCCTAGCATATTGCTGGTCAAGGGGTTTGGAGGCCCTGACCTTTCCTCCCTAGAGATGACATCTAGACCTCAGTTGTATTTCAGCTCCAGGCCCAGAAAAATAACAAAACCAGCCACGGATGACCTCAGGACCAGCTGTGTTGGATAATGACCCCCTTGCCCTGGTGCCAGCCAATTACTCAGTGGAGAACACAACCCTGAAAGGACACACCTGGAAAGCTGCCGAATATTATATTGAGATCTTCCCAGGGACCTCCAAAATCTCCTCCCTTAAAACCCTTAGGAGGGAGGACCCAGGGCACTCTCCCTCCAGGAAGCACACCCTACCCTTGCCTCCCCCCCCCCCC